GCTGCTAGCGCGCGGAATTCGCGCCCTCGGCCCCGCCCTTCCCACGCGCGACACCGCCTTTTGTCGGCAGTTCCACGCGCGCGTGCAAGCGCCGCGGTCACGTGGAGCATGGGAGCGACTGCCGCAGCGGTTCGCCTTTTGGTCCCCCGGCCCTTTGTGCGTGGAGGGGCGATGCCCAGCAGGGAGGGCGGGAAGGGCGCCTATCGGGTTAGCTCTGCCTCCCCTCCTACTAGCCCCAGTGCCACGAACGCCGGGCCCTCTCAGTCGCGTATCAAGTCCCAAGCAATGGAGCTGAATAAAATATATAAGTTGAGGTTCCCGGGGGTGCGGGTGTCTAGGGGAAGGGTGTGGCAGGCGGAGAGAAGGGTTGCCAGGCTTTGAAACAGGGCCTACATGGCGCGTCTGAAATAAAATGGAAGGGGAGGCATAGTTGGCTGGGACCTGAGCGGCTGGGGGCTCATTGCTCTCCTGCAGTTCTGGGAGGTGATCAGTGATGAACACGGCATCGACCCCACCGGCACCTACCACGGGGACAGTGACCTGCAGCTGGACCGCATCTCAGTGTACTACAATGAAGCCACAGGTGAGGGCAGGTGCCCGCGAGGCTCAGGTCCCATCTCCTCTCCCACTTGTCTGGGGGTCTCTTTCCATCCCTGGGGAACACCTTATTCCTTCTGGATGAGTCCATCATCATTCTTTACTCTTTGAAACGTTTCTCAATTTGTTTTCTTCCCACCTTCTGGGGCCAAACCCAGCTCTGCTGCCACCTGGTGGCAGGGCTTGGAATCACAAGCCTGGGTCCCAGGTTTCCCCACCCCAATACATTGGTTTTCCCTGTCAGTTCTCTCCTCTCTTCCCTGTAGGTGGCAAATATGTTCCTCGTGCTATCTTGGTGGATCTAGAACCCGGGACCATGGACTCTGTTCGCTCAGGCCCTTTTGGCCAGATCTTCAGACCAGACAACTTTGTTTTTGGTGAGTTATAGAGAAGATATTAGTAGATGCTGTCTTACTCAGTTTATTTGGGTGTAAGGGGATGAGCAAGAGTTAAAAGATGATTGTTGTACTGGAGAGCTTATAGAAGGCTGTGTTCTCAATCTCTGATAAAAAGCATAGGTAGTGACTGTCTTAGCTGGAAAACTATGGGGGAGGATCTATCACAGGTAAGGGTAGAGTGAAGATATCTCCAAGGGGATTATTGTAAAGGTGGAAGGGTGGTCAGGTACGTTCCACACCTTGCTAATCAAGCTTGACTCCCAACCCCATTCCAGGTCAGTCTGGGGCAGGCAACAACTGGGCCAAGGGCCACTACACAGAGGGGGCCGAGCTGGTCGACTCCGTCTTGGATGTGGTGCGGAAGGAGGCTGAGAGCTGTGACTGCCTGCAGGGCTTCCAACTGACCCACTCACTCGGTGGAGGCACAGGCTCTGGAATGGGTACCTTGCTCATCAGCAAGATCCGTGAAGAGTATCCTGACCGCATCATGAACACCTTCAGTGTGGTGCCCTCACCCAAAGTATCCGACACTGTGGTTGAGCCCTACAACGCCACCCTCTCTGTCCACCAGTTGGTAGAGAACACCGATGAGACCTATTGCATTGATAATGAAGCACTCTACGATATCTGCTTCCGCACTCTCAAGCTGACCACACCAACTTATGGAGACCTGAACCACCTTGTCTCAGCCACCATGAGCGGTGTCACCACTTGCCTCCGCTTCCCTGGCCAGCTCAATGCTGACCTCCGCAAGCTGGCAGTCAACATGGTGCCCTTCCCACGTCTCCACTTTTTCATGCCTGGCTTTGCCCCACTCACCAGCCGTGGTAGCCAGCAGTACCGGGCCCTCACCGTGCCTGAGCTCACCCAGCAGGTCTTTGATGCCAAGAACATGATGGCTGCCTGTGACCCCCGCCATGGCCGGTACCTCACTGTGGCGGCTGTCTTCCGTGGGCGGATGTCCATGAAGGAGGTGGATGAGCAGATGCTCAACGTACAGAATAAGAATAGCAGCTACTTCGTGGAATGGATCCCCAACAATGTCAAGACGGCTGTCTGTGACATCCCACCCCGAGGCCTCAAGATGGCGGTCACCTTCATTGGTAACAGCACAGCCATCCAGGAGCTCTTCAAGCGCATTTCAGAGCAGTTCACCGCCATGTTCCGTCGGAAGGCCTTCCTCCACTGGTACACAGGTGAGGGCATGGACGAGATGGAGTTCACCGAGGCTGAGAGCAACATGAATGACCTCGTCTCCGAGTACCAGCAGTACCAGGATGCCACCGCAGAAGAGGAGGAGGATTTCGGCGAGGAAGCCGAAGAGGAGGCCTAAGGCAGAGTCCCATCACCTCAGGCTTCTCAGCTCCCTCAGCCTTCTTCTTCAACTGCCCCTTTCTTCTCCCTCAGAATTTGCATTTTCTGCCTCTGTCTCCCCCCCCACCCCTCCCCTTGAGGGGGTTCTAGAACAGTGCCTGGTACACAGTAGGCGCTCAATAAATATTTGTTGTTTGTTGAATGTCTCCTCTCTTTTTCCACTCTGAGAAACCTAGACTTCTGCCATTCTGGGTAACCTTGTATTTCCTTCTGGGGCCACTGCTCCCATCTGTCCAGTTAATATTTCCTTCTGTTTTCAAGGTAATTCTCCAGGAAGCTGGGTCTCATCCAGATCCCATCTAGAACCGTGTACTGTAAACCTAGATGGCCACCATCTTTAGCCCAAGGGGTGAGCCCATGGTAGCCAAGGGAAAGGAAACCAAGCTAACTCACAGCTGGTAGAAGTCACCAGAAGGAAAGGGCTAAAATTTTCCATTCTAGAGCAGATTTAGGGGAATCCAGGCTATTTCAGCCATCACCAGGTATTTCCCTGCTCCTCTCTCAGCTTCAGGTGAGGTGTTAACAGTATTATCTCCATTTTCAGTTTCTCACCCCCCCAAAAAAGGAGTAACAGCCCTGACATGGCAAGGATGTATTGCCACCTACTGGTTTGAGTCGATTCCCCAGAGGAGAGGGAACAGGACATGCTCCAACATGCAACATCTCATCTCTTCCATTTGCTATTGCTTTTTTTATTTCTATCCTTTCCCCCCACCCCATTCTACACTTCAGGTTTCTATTTGTGTTGAACTTGCTGCTTTTTTTCATATTGAAAAGATGACATTGCCCCAAGAGCCAAAAATAAATGGGAAATGAAAAAAAGAAACCTTTGCAAGATGTGTGCTCATTTAGGGAAAGATGTGGGCAAAGCATGGGGCCCAAGTTTTAACTTTGCACATTCTGCCTTTAGGCTGATGAAAGTATCACAATACTTCACTGACCCTCATATATTGCTGGTACCCAAATCATCCCCTTCCCCAACCACCACTGCCATTCTTACTAATGGGATAGGCTCAGAATATAGGGCCTAGGGATAGAAATGGGAACTGAGGTAAATGTCAAATAGTCTCACTGGTTTTCAAGGTGGTTCCCAGGAGAACAGTATCAGCAACCCCTAGGAACTTGATGGAAGTGCAAATTTTCAACCCCACCCAGATATACTGAACCAGAGTGGGGGTAGAGTCCAGCAAGCTGTTGTAACAAGTGTGCCAGGATATTGTGATGAACGCTCACGTTTGAGAAGCAGTGTATTGTACTTTTCCAACTTGCAGACTACCCAGGATTCCTCTGGATTATGGGTACTTAAACCTGTTTTCTGTAATCCTGTGGGTTTTCTTGTCAACCAGAGACAAAGATGACTGGTGGGGGATGTCTTCTCTTGATGGTCCTATTCTAAAATAACACCCTGCCTGGTGGCACGGTGGTTAAGAGCATGGCTGCTAACTAAAAGGCTGGCAGTTCGGATCCACTAGCCACTCCTTGAAAATCCTATGGGGCAGTTCTACCCTATCCTGTAGGGTTTCTATGAGCTGAAATCGACTCAATGGCAATGGTTTTGCTTTGGTTTTTTTGGATAGCCTACCTGGAGTTGCTGGGTGGTGCAAATGGTTAAACACATTCAGCTGCTAACCAAAAGGGTGGTTTGAATCTACTCAGATGTGCCTCTGAAGAAAGGCCTGGCAATCTATTTTTGAAAAATCGGCCATTGAAAACGCTGTGGAGCATAGTTCTGCGACACACACGGGGTCGCCAGGAGTCAGAGTCGACTCAAGGGCAACTGTTTATTTTTATGGTCTTCCTAATACCTCATGCTTCTAAGTGCATAAAGTTAACAGTCTTGAAGCTATCCTGGAACCTCAACAGTCCATAATTGAGTATTTCTATTGGCCATATTGGTAGTAATTCTAGGGACTAATGCAGTTCTCCACATTCCTTCCACTTAAGCATGCTTTCCTGACTGAACTTTTGTTAAAAAAACACATTAACTCTACAACTTGTAACAGCGTATAAGTAACTTTCTCCCATTTTAGAAAGCCTACTGAAATGCAAGGGAACAAGCTACACTGTAACATTCATTTTGAATTTGTTCTGCTTTATTAATTGTTCATAAGTATCAGTACTTATTAACAATTTGGCATGTAAAGTTGAGAACCTCCAGACCATCCCTCAGTCTTGATCAGGAGAGAACTGCAGATCACCGGCTCAAGTTGAGTAAGTTGTGGGGAGCGCGGCGGGATAATGAACGAGCAGGCTGGCATGGGGCCCCTGGGGAGGGCAATCTTGGTAGTGTGGGGTTGGCAAGGGAAGAAGCCCTACCCCCTCCAAGGCAAGGCACAGGTGATTTGGCAAGGAGGGATGAAGGGTAGTGCCCTCCTGTCAAAGGGCATGCTCTGGGAGACTAGTTGGGCTGCATGCAATATGGGGATCCTTCAGGGAACTTGGAACAATGAGGCTGGGCATCAGCGAGGGCTGGGGGCTCAGGCTGTTTGCAAAGGCTTGTTGTGGTTCACCTGGCAAAAAGACAACAGTGGATGACACTTAGAACCAGGTAGCCTCCTCTCCCAGACCCCCACCCCACCTCATTCTCTTTGCCCAAAGTCATTAAGATCCATGTATAACAAACAGCAAATCACTGAAGTGGGTGGAGGGGCAGCCCAGAGCTCTGCTCAGACTCACCTTGGCTCCCAATCTTCTGGTGCAGGTTCCAAGGAATGCACCTTGAAGGTCACTGATACAGTCCAGTGTGTTTAGGTATGTATGTATTATTTATTTATTTATTTAAGTGTGTGTTAAATAAATAAAAAATACATACATACCTGAAAACACTGGACCATATCAGCACACTTATCTCACCCTTACTATATGCCAGGCACTGTTCTTTGCAAATATTTACTCATTTACTCCCCCCCAACAATTCAACAGAGTAGTTACTATTATTAACCAGATTTTAAGGTGAGGAAACTGAGGAACAGAGAGGTTAAATAACTTGTCCAAGGTCATACAGCTAGCATGCACTGGAGCCAAAATTCAAATCAAAACAGTCTACTTCCAGAGCCCGTTCTCTGACCGCTACCATGATCTACAGGTGAATACAATGAGGCACCAAGAGGCAGTGATATACTTTGGGAGTAATGAACTGTTTGTTAACAGGGCTACAACTGGTTCCCTGTAGAATGGGGTGACTATGAGCACAGGCTCCAGAGACAGCTGTCTTGGGTCAGAAGCCCAGCTTCACCAGCTGTATGACATGAGGTAAGTTACTCAACACACTGAAAGTTGTTTCTTTACTTTGCAAAATACTACATACCCCAGGGTAGTTTTGATCTAAAAAAAAGAAAAAAAAAAAAAAAAATCTCTGTAGAAGCTTAGTGCTGTGTCTGGCATACAGAAAGCACTTAATAAATGTCAGCGACCCCTTCCCCAAGGCCTCTCTCCTGGGTGCTGGCCCAGTGGTAGGCCCATGCATCACATGACAGAAACCCAGCAATTCTCCCCAGCCCCCACACTGGAGATGGGTCCCCTTACCTGGGAGATGCTGACGCCTGTGAGTCTCTCTATGCTCTCCGGCAGGCGGCTTAGGATGTCCAGTACTTCCCCAGTCACTTTGGCCGCCCCTATAGTCCCACTTCCACTGGACACCAGTGTGATCTTATTGGCTGAGGTCAAGGGGCCACTGATCTCCTCGGCCACCTGATAGGTGAAAGAAGCCTCTCAGTGCCCAGGAGCTGACCACACCCTTCCTAACACTCTTTACCCTTGGTTTTAAGACCCTTGTTTTACTGATAAGGTACTTAGGTGGCACAAACAGTTAGGGTTCGACTACTAACCTAAAGGTTAGCAATTCGAACCCACCCAGCAGTGCACGGAAGAAAGAACTGGCCGCTTGCTTCCGTAAATATTACAGCCAAGAAAACCCTATAGAGCAGTTATCTTTAACACCTGGGGTCAGCATGAGTTGGAATTGACTCGATGGCAATGGGTTTGGTCCTACTGATCATCCTTCCTCACTTTGGTCACTGGCTTATAATTCCCATCTGCAAGTTATAGTTCCCTAGCCTGGCTCTCCCCCAGCCCCTCGCTTCACCCAACCCCTCAGTCCTTGATTCTGGTCCCTCCTCTCCTGGTGCCCACACAGCTCTGTACCTGGGGCAGCTTCTCTAGCAGCATGTCCAGCAGAGCTGCCTCTTGGTACAGCTGGAATGCTTCTGCCTTCTTGACCATCTGCTCAGCTTCTGCCCGTGCTCGGGCCTCCACGGCAAAGGCCTCAGCTTCCCCACGCATCTGTGGAGGGCACAGGATACTTGTGCTATTGGTATTAATGGGAATATAGTTAAGGACAAGAGACTCTTGCTCAAGCAGCAACCCCCACTCCCTCCACCTGTCAGCAAGTCACTTCCTAACTCACCCTCACAGACTCAGCCTCAGCCTCTGCCTGCATGATCAGCTGGGACCTGGGGAAAGAAGGGAAGTAGAGGGAGGAGCTGAGGAGGGGCCCTTGTTCCCAGGGAGACATAAAGAGCCAGGACTGGGGAGTCGGGGGCTCTTGCAACCTGAGTTCCATAGGAGTCCCGGTACTGAAAGCTTCAGCTCTTCATCTAGGGGCAGCCAGGTTGTGAAAGAGCGAGGAGAGGAACAGGGAAGGGGTATTTACTTCTCTGCCTCTGCTAGGCGCTCCAGCCGGTAGCGCTCAGCTTCTGCGGGCTTCCGCACTCTGGCTTCCAGCTCCTTCTCTCGGCGGGCGATCTCCTGCTCCTGCACTGCCACCTGCTGGGCCCGCTCCACCACCTGTACCTGGACCCGCTGCTCCTCGATCTGCTGCTTAGTCTTGGCCACCTGTGGGGGGAGGCACTCAGAGTCAGAGCTGAAGGGCAAGTGCTCAGGAAGCAAGTACAGAACCATGGCATGGCTGAGGGTGGCCTGATGACCCTCCTTTCAGAACCAACATTAGAGTTAGGACTATTCCCCAGGCAGCCTCCACATCAGAGCTGGGCAAGTTGGGACCTGGTCCCTGTTCTCCCCCAGGCCCAATCAAGTGTCCTTCTGCTGAGCTCACATATTAATATTTCTCCACCTATCTTCCTCTAGAATATAAGCACCTGGAGGGCAGTGACCGCATTGTGGCCATCTTCTACCTCCACAAAACTGCCTCCGTAGAACTGCCCCATAGGCTTTCCAAAGCTATAAATCTTTTCAATTTCTTTTTTAAAAAATTTGTGCTTTAAATAAGTTTACAGTTGAAGTTAGTTTCTCATACAAAAATTTATACATACACTGCTATGTGTCGTCAGTTGCTCTCCCCAAACTGTGACAGCACACTCCTCCTTTCCACCCTGGACTTCCTGTGTCCATTCAACTAGCTCCTGTCCCTTTCTGCCTTCTCATCTTGCCTCTGGACAGGAGCTGCCCATTTAAACTCATGTATCTACTTGTGCTAAGAAGCACACCCTTCACAAGTATCATTTTATGTCTTATAGTCCAGTCTAATCTTTGTCTGAAGAGTTGGCCTCAGCAATGGTTTTAGTTTTGGGCTAACAGAGAGTCTGGAGGCCATGTCTTTCAGGGTCCCTCCAGTCTTAGTCAAACCATTAAGTCTAGTCTTTTTACTAGAATTTGAGTTCTGCACCCCACTTTTCTCCTGCTCCATCAGGGACTCTTTGTTGTGTTCCCTGTCAGGGTGGTCATTGGTGCTGGCCGGGCGCCATCTAGCTCTTCTGGTCTCAGGCTGACGGAGTCTCTGGTTTGTGTGGCCCTTTCTGTCTCTTGGGATAACGCTTTCCTTGTGTCTTTGGTGTTCTTCATTCTCCTTTGCTCCAGATGGGTTGGGACCAATTGATGCATCTTAGATGGCTGCTCACTAGCTTTTAAGACCCCAGACGCCACTCACAGAAAATGCAGAACATTTTCTTAATAAGCTTTGTTATGGCAACTGACCTAGACGTCCCCTGAAATTATGGTCCCCAGACCCCTGCCCCTCCTACTCTGTCCCTCAAAGTGTTTGGTAGTATTCAAGAAACTTCTTAGTTTTTGGTTTAGTCCAGTTGTGCTGACTTCCCCTGTAGTGTGTGTTGTCCTTCCCTTCACCTAATTCTTGTCTACTATCTTGTTAGTGAATATCCCTCTCTCTCCGTCCCCACCCTCATAACCATCAAAGAATGTTTTCTTCTGCGTTTAAACCTTTTCTTAAGTTCTGATAATAGTGGTCTTATACGATATTTGTCAAGGCTGTAAATCTTTATGGAAGCAGACTGCCACATCTTTCTCCTACAGAATGGCTGGTAAGTTCGAACTGCCGACCTTTCAGTTAGCAGCTGAGTGCTTAACCATTGCACCACTAGGGCTCCCTTCTGCCTCCACAGTCTCTCTCACATCCATCCACTTCTCTCCATCTCTGCCACCATAACCTTAGTCCAAGCCACCGCAGCTCTAGCTCTGACTACAACAGCAGCCTCCCACTGACTTTTCTGGGGGAGGCTGGGGTGGGTATCTATTTAATATTTATCTTTTGTATACAGTACAAGAGGTCCCCATGTGGTGCAAACGGTTTGCACTCTACTACTAACCTAAAGGCTGGTGGTTCAAATCCACCCAGCCATACTGTGCAAGAAAGCCCTGACAATCTGTTTCTATTAAGATTACAGCCAAGAAAACCCTATGGAACAGTTCTACTCTGTAACACATGGGGTCACCATGAGTAGCAATCAACAGAAACAGGTTTATATGGTACAAATCCCAAAGGTAAAATAGTGACAAGTAAGGCTTTCTCCCACCTCCTTCTGTAAGCCACCTGGTTTCCTTCCCTAGCAGTAACCACTGTGACCAGCTTCTGGTGTATTCTTCCAGGGATACTCTAAGGATGTGTGTATATATAGAATTCTTATCTAGCCATATTTCCTTCTCTTATTCTCTGTAGTGCACAGGGATCAAAAGGCTCTTGCCAAGATGTTGGCGAGGAGAGGCACCAGGCGAGAAACCCACTTACTGTCTCATTACTCAGGCTCAGCCATATGCCATCATCTCTGTGGAGTTCATCAATACAGTGGTGGTTCCCTGCATTTCACTGGGCCCATCTGTTCACTCTGGAGGGAAGGGTGGCTCTGGATATGGCACCCTGCACTGTCTTTGACCCTAAATTTTCAAACCTATTCCAAATTAGACTACTAGTTGCCCTCAACACCGGTTATGCAGCCATCATCCTATGATCCTCCCTCACCATCATCCTGGGGTACCCGTCACCTCTCTCCTGGGTTGGGTCTCCTGTTTCTTGTGAACTACCTTTTTTTTTTTCTTGTTTAGGCCCATCTTTTGGTGAAGTTCAATTTCCAGTAGCTTCCTCAGAAAGAGTATGTGGGCAATACATTTTTGAAGATCCTGCTTCTCTGAGATCTTTATTCTGTCCTTTTATTTGAAGTGTCAGTGAGGCTGAGAATAGGCTGTTATGTACAGATTAATTTTTCCATTAGAATTTTGAAGGCACTGCTCCATCGTCTTCTAGCTTCTTGATAAATGTGAAATCATTTTGATACCAAGTCCTTTGGTTGAGATCTGTTCTTTCTCTCTGGAAGCTTCTAGATCTTTCTTTTTGTCTTCTGTGTCTTGGAATTTCACAATGATGTGTTTCAATGTAGATCTTTTTCATTTATTGTGTTGGGCACTGGGAATTGTTTCAATCTAAAAACTGACGTCTTTCAAAACAGATACACTTTTTTGATTTATATTATTGGTGATTTCCTCCCTTTTTCTTTCATGAGTGTCTTAGTCATCTACTGCTGCTATAACAGAAATACCATAAGTGAATGGTTTTAACGAAGAGAAGTTTATTTCCTCACAGTAAAAGTAGCCTAAAAGTCCAAATTCAGGGTGTCAGCTCCAGGGAAAGTCTTTCTCTCTCTGTCAGCCTTCTCATCAGTGTTCCCCTGGACTAGGAGCTTCTCGGGGCAGGGACCCCTGTCCAAAGGATGCGCTCTGCTCCTGACACTGCTTTCTTGATGGTATGAGGTCCCCCTGTCTCACTGCTCACTTCTGTCTTTTATATCTCAAGAGATTGCCTCAGGACACAATCCAGTCTTACAGAT